GGGGGAGGGGCGTCAACAATGGCCACTGTACCCATTGATCATAAGCGCCTACCCAGAGCCCGTAGCTCCATTTTCTGCCTTTAAAAGCACACACAACCCACAATTCCTCTATTCGCTCCGACGAAGGGCTAACGCTCGAAACGTCAGCTTTTATAGCCGTAACGGTGGCCAATTTACCATTTCAACTTTGTTGATATATTCAAATTATTTCGTTACCCCCACCGACGCAGCGTCAAACAGTTTCTTATTCAGATGTTGTGGACAGATTACTTCTGAATAGCTCACGGTTTATACAGACTGGACACCCCAAACGGGCGAAAACGATGATACTTGTAACCAGGATCCTCTTTTTTTTTTTTTTCAGGCGACAACGAGTGGCTCTGAAGACGAGTGGGGTTAAGCAAGCTGTAGTTGCAACGCATTCTTGAATCAAAAGTAATCCGATACAGGCCCGCCCCAAATCGTGAGCGCTTGTCAACAACCGCTTACACATGGGTGGGGACGGTCAGTGGGTCAATGACGAGCGAATACATTTGAAGCATCTAGCTTTTCATTCTTTTATATAATACATCAATAAATAGAAATTTTTTCCTGAAAGGCTTCGCACAGCAGGATACTGTCATCTTCGGGAAATAAATTGAACCCTTTCGTGTCTGAGTTGAGTTGGAGTATTTACACTGAAAATATTCAAATAGACAGATATGTAGATAACACCATTAGAAACGATGCTAAATCATATTCATACGTCTGCCATTATTCACGCGACACCCCTAATCAGATTGTTTTATATTTTAGCAGGAACAAAAATAAGTAAAGGAAACGTATCCCTCTTTCCTATGGCATATGAACTAAACATTCACCTTTCACCACATTTTTTGACTCAACGGTTTGAGTTTCAATAGCGCTTCAATTCGCTGTTTTCATTTTGATTCATTCTCCTCTGGAAACTTCTGTTCAATTTCATGACAGGCTATCTCAGACATAATTCCACACTTGCTGACAAAACGCCATGATATGAGCATATGTTGGCTTTGTTGAAAATTAATCCCCTGACCTAAACACAATTTAATTGGCACAAATTATTAAAACTAATATTTGACTCGATGGCGGCTTTTAAAGCGGCGAAGAGCGGCTTTCGATTTTCATTGAAGTGGTAAGAGACACTAAAAACTAATTCTTTGTGGGTTTCACAATTCAAAATCTGATCTTATGGATCGCGAAAATAATGAAATCTAAAGGAAAACGAACTTATATTAATCTTGTTAGATCTTGGAATAACTCCGTGACTTATGCGGGCAATAACCGAAGCCTTAATTAAAACCCGCAGTGGATTTTCATTCTAAAATTTGGTATTGAAGTGAATTGGTTTTCTAGACGTAAAAAAAGTAGACAATGCCTTCATAAAAATGGGTTGCGTCAGGATTGAGAACCATCGTCGATCCAAAGCGAATATAAGAAACGACTCGCCAAACATCTGGAGCGGCCCACGGGATTTTTTTTTAACAGCTCACCACATGGTTTACACAAAATACCCCCAATCTACAAAGGAACCAGACATATTTCGAGCAAACAAAGTGAAATAAGCTCATTGTGAATTCGATCTTTGGGGGGAGTCAAGAGTGATTTCCGTCGATCAAAGTCTCCACCAATCATCTGACAGAGAAGTTTATTGAAATTGTTATTTGCGTAACACCACATCAGACAACTATAGACGCGCCAATGCGTCTAGACATTCACGTGACAATATTTCAGCCAATAAGAATGTTTTAACTATTTGCTGCACGTCGGCAAGTGTTACCGTTGTGCACTATGGTTTTGCGACGAATTAGTTGATGTGAATCTGCTAGTTCTTTACATGCTGTCTAGACGTGTAAGTTTGCGACGTGATCGAGGAACTTAAATTTTCCTTCGCATTTTAGGCCACGCAAATCTTTCAGATTGGCTGGATGTGATCGCTAAGAACAAATGTTCAGCTTATATGTTCAAGTTGTTGAGACTGGTGAACAAACTGTCCCTACTCGAGAATTACTTCGTTCTCACAGGCCGCAAGGATTTTTCGCCTGAGGAAAGTGCCGAACTGAAGTCAATAACTCATTCCATCTTAAAGCGACTCAACGACAGTGAATTCACGGCTCTGCAAACGGCGCTGGAATCGAAAGGCGGCCTTCAGACGAGTTGTATTTTCTTTCCAACGCACGAAAGACTGGGCAAGCGCGTAGTTGTCGAACCGCAAGTTGTTTTGTACCGAGTATTTCGATTGCCGCAAGTTCGAAGCTCCTCGGAACTTAAGCGTAGTCCATGCTGCTCGACACGAAATGGCTTCGACAAGAAAGTGTGTATCAATCCTTTCCACTACAGCACAGTCGTGAACACTGGTAAGTTTTAATCCATCGAATTCGAAATCTTGTTCATAGCGACTCTTGTGGCACTGTTTGTGTACCAGATTTTATAACATTTTTACCATCTCATTTGCATACGAGACAGGCCTTTCTCGCTGTGTCGTTTCCCTGTTTTCGATCATTTTGTTCGTTTTTATTTCATAGGACCATCTAGTGGGATTTATACAGCCCTACCCAAGGCCATGGAGGTTAAAAACGACGAATCTTCTGGTATGTGCTTTGGAAATTCGGTGTTAATGGAGTTTCGTGCGTGTATCCGTTCCAGACACTCAACCCGTCGGCTTCGCTCACTTATTTTCCTTTTACTTTGCAGGATTTTTCAGTAACCATACTCAGTCGACAACTTGCCCCATGGATAGCCAAACCTCCTACACAGAGTCTGCTCCGCGGAATATAGGTATAAAATTTTACATACCTTGCTTTGACCTTTGCGGTGTTGTGTCGAATATTTACTCTTTCATTCGATCGATTGTGAAGCCTCTACTGTCAAACTGTTTCACGAGTTGCGAGTGAGTAACCCCACTCCATCGTATTGTCAATTATTTATAGAATCCAAGTTTTTTGGGCTTTTACGGGGTGATCTTGTGTTCGAACGCGAATTGACTTAATTTTGGATACAATTGCAGGGGCAGATTACTGCTATGCGACGGAGAAAGGTTGGCCAAGGCCGTGGTGTTCAATCGCTTATTGGGAGCAAAGTGAAAGAATTGGACCATCTTTTGAAGGAACTGCTGATGTTATCAACGTATTTGAAAGTCTACCCGAGCCCAGTGGGTTCTGTTTAGCTGCACTCGATCGGCGAAGTGATGTTCCCGAGCGAACTAAAAGAGTGAGAGAACAGATCGGTTATGGCCTGCAGTTGACACGCGAAGTTGATGGAGTTTGGATTTATAATCGAAGCGACTGTTCCCTATTTGCAAATGGCCCAACACTTACTTATTCGAACGAAAGCATCGCTGGCGGAAAAGTTAGACATAATATTCTGGTGCATAAAATTCCACCCGGATATTCGCTCAAAGTGTACGATTATAAATTAAGCCCACAGGTATGCCGGGCAGTGGACAGCGCTGGAGTGAGATGTTATCACCCTGAGACAGTGCGAATAAGTTTTAAGAAAGGCTGGGGAGTGACATCAACTTGTGAATACCGTCAACCGCTTGTAACATGTTGTCCTTGTTGGATCGAGGTACATCTGTCGGTTGCGCGGTAACACGCGTGTACGAGCGAGACCAAGATAAGATCCATGTAAATGTTGATTTGTTTATGTGGCGGCTTCCTTTCGATCGGATCGTCTAACATTTCACAGAGTTATAGAAACATAAGTATGATACCTTCATAGAGTATATTATGTATATTGTATATAGAATATTGACTGGCCGAAAATATAATTTAAGGACCTAGTCCGTGAACGAACTAAATTTGGACAGCGAAGAAGTAGACACGTCTCCATAGGAGAGAAACAGATCCTTTAATTGTACAGCGTACTGTTGTTTAATGTTGTTACGCGAGTGAAAAAAAAACACACCAAAAATGAATATATTATATTTTCAATCACGGCTCGTGTTGTGATTAAGTTTCCTTGAATAACGAAAGTATTTCGGCATCTCCAGTGTAGGTGTTGAGTGCATTTTGCGCCCAGAAATTGCTCTGATGTCATTCAACCCTAATCCGTCGCATGCGGTTGACCAGACATCCGAGTAGACCTTCCGTTTCATTTGTCAAAGAATAGCCTTGTTTCTGTTTTACTCTGTAATTTTTGGCTACGAATGCAACATGCTGTTCTTAAAACTTGTTTATGGGTGAAATGAAGCGTTCAAAATCTTTCAGACAGGTAGCTTATCATAAAGGTTAATGTTTAGTACTATCTTTTGACACAACTAAGCTATATATTCATAGTTGTCAGGCCGAAACCACTTTGTATACATTACGGCTGATAATTCATTCGATGTTGACTGAGTAAAACCCATTTATGGCGAAAGACTTGAAACAGGCACGCGCGCGACCAATGTGATGCCTCGTCGCCTTGGGGCAATGAACAAATCTAATATTTTCTGCACCATCTGAGTAATATTCGCGCTTCATAAACCTCGCTAATCTTTTGGTGTGATATTGAGCTCACTTTTGACTAGTGGAGTACAAAAGAGTGAGCACGTGTTTTGCGCACCCTTCTTCAGAACATGCGCCGCTTTTATGACCTATGTGATCCAAAGTTGGCACACAGATTGAAATTTCGAAAGATCACTCATCGGGCAACGGAATTGTAACGGCAATGAGCGCGTAATATGCAAATGTAAAATTGTTTTGCTTATTGATTTGTCTACAAGCCCGATTGTATGCATGAAAATACGGATATAACGCCGATGTTTGCACGCACTTTCTATTGACACTTAAAACAATTCTTCAGTTTTTGTGATCAGTAGTTAGGTAAGGACGAGATTGCATGCAAATGACGTTTTCAAGGTGGCTTTCTCGAGACATGGGCGGTGTTGTGGGAGAATAATTTTCAGACATCACAAAATTAGATCCATGATGTAGATATTAAAAGAGAAAGGAAGACTTGGCAGCTGTTGTTTGCTTCTCAGGAAAGCGACGGGGTTTATTCTTCGGTGTGAAAAATTTTATATGACAGCATTTTAACAGACTTAACAGGTAGCTTTTCAGCTATGGCCTCCAAAACGAAACTGAACTGTTCTCAAGACCATCTGCACCTTGACGTACCAAATTAGACTGTCTCAAAAACACTGTTATATGTAATTAAGAGTTTCTCGAAGCTTTCTTTGGGCTGAGTTTTAATTTCTTCACAAGGCCTAATGAATTTATTCAAAACCTGCTTGGTGGTGTGAAAATGTCTCAAAAAAGCCACAATTTAATCACCCACCGTGATGAAAAAAGTAAGCAACGAGAACATTTGATAAACTTTGTCTCAAAACAAACCCGAGGCTGAGGAACACCTTTGGCGAAATTTTCTCATAGAATTATCTGATCAAAGGCATGATTAGGAAAAATATGCTTTGGTGAATTTCATGTTTTGGTTGTAATACACGACAAATAAATTCGAACGGAAGCTGCTCAGGATAATTTAAATACGTCCCAGACATTACATAATGTACAAATTTGGACAAATGTTGCGTGTTGATAATGAAATCCTTTCGAGAAAGCTAAAATGTTGGTTTCACCGCTCAAGGAAACTCGACCATAAGAGATAATCCTGTGAAGTTGTTTTCTAGACGAAATAATATACGTTTTCATTGAATGGAATATCAGAGGGGTTTAACTACCGTCTTCCTGTGTCTCACACATTGTACAGACAATGGACGCATTCAATTGTGTCGGGTAGCCATGTTTACGGTCAAATTTTGAGACACACCGGTTATACACGCCCTGAGCAGAGAGCTGAAGGAGTTCTTTTTTTTTTCTTTCTATGACAGCAATGAAGTTGTTCTTTAGACACCCCGCAATCGCATTTCGGCCCTAACCCCAACGCGTGGTGGGGGACCACTCGTTGAGAAACATATTCAAAAACGTTAATAGTGTAAAAATAGTTGAATTTTTTCAGTAACTGGTTTGGAAATTTTTTCTTTCACTTTCAAAGGCTTTAACTGGCTATAATGTTAAAAATTCAGACTTCAGTTTTAGAATAGGGTCAGTCTCAAGGTACCTACAAGACAATGTCTGGTGTATTCTTATTCAAATTACGAACAGCTGAGTCTAGTAATTCAAACAAAATCTTGACAATTTGCCACATGCCTGTAAACACGCCTCGAAACAAAACGGAAAGAGACAAAAAACAAAAACAAAAAAAAAGGGAGAATTTAGAAGTTTGTCTCAAGGAAGCCTTTTAGCTTGAGATACTGTCTTATACTTAGCATAAACAAAACAAGGAGTCGGTAGAAAAGTTCAGGATTTCGAGATCGTGTATTTTAACATGATCCGAGAGCAATTGGCTTTTATCTACTCCTACGCGACCTAACCACTGTCTGAGTATTTTAATTTAATGTGGCGGACTATTAACTACACTGGCTGAAAACTGCTTCTATTAGCGTCGTGTTTCCGTGTGGCTTGATGACCTTTCACCATTTAATAAGTTTTTTCTACTCAACCAGCCCAAAAGTATCATTTTTTTAACCTGTCTCTCTTTCATCCGTAATTTTTCTACACGATATTCGAAATTTAAATACGAAAGAAAAAGTAAGGACGAAAAAATGGCCAGTCATTCTTACCACATCCGCAACAGATGTGTATCCTCGAAAGTGTCAGCGCTGAATCATTAAACTTACAAAAGCTCTTAGTTTACCATAATCTAAGCTAAAGGAGGTGCCGCTCATCTTTTTGAAGTTAACAGCCACGTATAATACTTTTTATTACCCTATTCTCTTTCATAGCATCTCTAACTCTACGACACCTGCAGTGCATGATTACATGCTCTCAAGAATATGGCATCGACGCTGTCTGCTAATTGCATTTACAAATAGAATTGTCCCATCGGCACTTTTAAAAGAAACTTTCGATTAAGGACGAGTAATCCCCACAAATTACATGGTTTCCCGTCGTACTTAATTGCATGGCCGTTAGAGGGCTAAATAGTGTCCCTTTGAGCTATATTCAAGACATAATGGTCTTAGAAACATCCTTAAAACAAGGTGCGCATCAATTTTACATGTAATTGTTTGAACAACGGGGGGGGTGGGGGTGAAAGAAATATTCCGGTGAGAAGTAGAATATATCGTTACTAAAAATGTGTCCAGCTGTTTGTCCAAAGACAATAAAAATCAACAAAGCATAATCCTTAAATGCCAAGGATTCGAATAATGTCGCCTACCCCGTCCTTTTTCTTTCCGTTCAGTGTGGTGCATTTTAAATTGCTCAATAAAGTAAGCACAAGTGTGCCGGTACAGCTTGCGCAGCAACATAGGCACAAAAACAATTTGATCCTGGCACGAGCTAACCAGTATGTCATTGTCTACAGAAAAACGGCTTTCGCACGTATTTCGTATCAATGGGCGTGTCTAGAGCCCCTTCATCAGTTAACCATTTCATTCAGACAAAATCAGCCCTGGTCGACTGAGGCATGTTTGTGATTTTTTTGTCACAGGAATTTTTTTGCTCAGACTGACCTTGTCAATCTTAAAAAAAATTATGACACTTGTTGGAAAGAAACTGTAAAAAAAAAAAACGATCCTTGTCAATATCTATCTAATGATGTTAGATCGGCTGAGGGGCAGTCTTTATTACTTGTCTCGGAATGTTAGTTGTGTCCGGTTTGCGTAAGGATAATCACGAAAGACGGCTCTCTGAGGACAGGGACCGTACATGTTTGACGGCAGATTATAATACCGATGTCGGACAATTGAAAACTATTGCGCAAAAAGGTCAAGTTATGAGACATTTTTATTTAAGGGCGGAAATTCTGCGCTTGGGATTTCGCTAAGTGTTGCACGATGTTGAGTTAATCTCGTTGGCCAATTTGAATTGAATTCATAAAGTTACTGATATCGATTGTCAGATAGTATCACGGTGCAAGGAAGTTGAAAGTTGGAAGTTGAAAACTTAAGTGCTGCACGAGAGTGTCAGAATTTTACTAACACTGCCCACGTAGAACAAAGTTGGAATTTCTTGTGGATCAAGGCCTGAGAATAAAAGGCAGTTGCGTCAGTAGCCATCACCTATTTAAATATTTGTTTAATCGTTTCACTACAGATCTGTCTACTACCACCTTTCAGTTTTTCTAAAGAAGAAAATTGTCGCTCATGTCCACATTTTTTCTTTCTGAAAGATGTTTTAGTCTAGAGTCGCATATTGATTAGACAGATCAGTTATTGATGGCTTTCACTAGCTACGTAAAACAAAAACATAGAGAGAAGGTCTTAAGGACTATAGAATCAGTGTGCACGCAAGAATTCATTTGGCTTCGGTGATTGTTGAGAGAATGGTTGAAGTAATTTTTCACATTCAATCTTTGACGCCAATCTCTGATCCTCGTCACAGAAACAATTAACCTTTGCGAAACTTTAATAGTTTAGGCAACAGTCAGGTACGGAAATGTTACACGCGACGATTTTGGACACAACATTTAAAAGTCGGGCTACCATAGCTGCAACATATCGCCGTTAAAAATGTTTGCGTGGAAAACCCTCCGAGTGTCAATATCAAGGATTATATTCTTAATTCAATAACATGAAGTTTCAGTCAAAAATCGGCGATAAAAAAATTAGCTCTTGTAACACTGCGCAATCATGCATAGAACGGTAAACCCCTGAAAACACTCTTTCTTAAGCTTCTTTGAAGAACACTGCGGGGCTAGCAGAACTCAGGAGCTTCCACGGAGGTTTGATTGTCGGAACTTAATTTTTTTCGTTTCCATTCGAATCGGTGAATCGAAGACACCGTCCTTCAGACTCGGCGTTTATCATACGGATTGTCATTGTGAAATTAATGCAGGTAACGGCTTTTTTATTTATTCATACTTGCAGTTAAACAAATTTGAATGCGGTACATTTTGAGATTGAAACATTTTATTCAAAGGGGAGATTAAAGGGGACCAAAATGTGACTGACTTGTCCTACTAAATACTTTTTGAACTGAAAGCGCATCTATGCGTCGTAACAATTCAATGACTTTTTTGTCCTGAATTATCTCATGGCACACCTTCCGTTTCAAAGACATTAACTGATTTCTTGTTGCTACCTACCCAATTAAGAGAGCTGGCGAGCTTAATTGGATCTTGCGCAGTAAATATAAACGTTGTGGTTTTAAGCTACTCAGGGGGGACACTTCAATACTCTTACTTGGATATAATCCAGGAAATGTCTGTTATACTGGTCGATTCGTTTGTAACTCGATGCACTTCATAGAACTTCCTTCGTCGAGACGATGGAACAGGAAAACATTTACCGGACTCTGGCTCACAATGAATAAAGGCTGACAGTTTCTGGCTCACAATGAATGCTTGTAATTTCAGAGAGTGCAAAACGAGCGCGTCACTGAAGTATTTTACAACCGTACGGTAAAAACTTCCATCGAGGAGAGCAATATTTAAAAAAAAGCAAGCTATTTAGTTTTGGCCCTCGAAACAAGACGGCCTTTCATTTGTAGGTAAGAATCAAGTGGCACAACACGAGTCGATCCAATAACATGTCGAAGTCTAGAAAGCATGAACAACATAAAATTGACCAACGTTTACGAAGTTATTTGAAACAACCGCATCGACCTAAGGGCATCAAGTGCCCCTGGGCCGGGAGAGCTTGCGTGCTCGGCGGCGATAAAAAAGGAAAGAATTTAAAAAAAAAAAAAAAGCAAGCACAGAGTTTACAGACATACGTATGAAGGCCGTTAATGAAGGTATTCATAATGAAAAAATAGTTTCGCAAATTGAAAATTCGTGTAAATTGATTTTGCCCAAGTTTGTTTGCCAAATGATGTAAATATACCCACCCTTTCATACAACCCTACGATAAACACAAAATAATGAATTATGAACCATTACTGCAAAAACAGGCTGCAGTTAGACCAAATTCCCACCGCGCGCAGTAAGAAGCAAATTGATCACGTCTAGGTAAACATCTGTTTTAACGAAGTAAATACCTTAGCTGTGGATAAGTTTATTTATATCCAGGATTTCTTGCGATTAGTCTATAATTATCGCGAGCTTTAAGCACGTCCCAGTCGGATTCGTAAACTAGTGTGCAACTAGTTTCGCGTTTCAGTCACTTCATCAAGTCAGTTTGCCAGTATAAAGCACTAAGTCAAACTAAACATCGAGCTCATAATATCAACATGTCAAAGTTGTGAGAATTCCTGACGTTAATGAGCCATGGCCGGCGCAAAAATTACTGTAATACCGGCACGACCAGGCATAACTGAACCCTTCCACAATTCAACACTGTTCACTCCGGAAGAAAGAAATCTTAATTCTGACTGTCTCGATCAGTAAAACAGAGTGTAAACAACCAAATACATATCTCTCAGCTGTGTGATTGTAAAAAGTATGAACTTAGTTAATTAAAATACGGCAGGCTAAAACAACAGAAATCCCATTTTTAGAATTTAATGGTATATAGCATATAAAGAAATACATATCAAAGCGGTCACACTTTTTACGAGCAATGTGAAATAAAATACATTACGTGCTCAAGTTGTCTTGAGAGCAATTATCAAACTTAACAACTTAACAAACTTGAGTTGAGTGTCAAGAAAACGCAAACAAAGTAGTCAGAAAATAAGGAAAACATTACCAAAACCATTCAAAATTTTAAAGTAAAAACAAATTTAGCTACTTGAAGAGCGGATAGCACGAGCTACTAGAGAACGATTGGTTAAGTTATGCGTCTGATTGGTTGGAACGATTGGTTAAGTTATGCGTCTGATTGGTTGAAGAGTTTGTTTGAGTAATCTTGACCAATCACATAGCAAAATAAACCAAAACCAATACAATCAACACTCAATTAACAATCGCACATTAGCTGTGGTTACACTCACCTCCTTCCCGAGGTAACCCAGTGGGTAATAACATTGGGTTGGGATGGGTTTGGGTTTCCGGTCAGGTTTAATCCTCCGGTTACATCGCAAATAATTACCCGAGGTCAACTTTTGACCTAGCAGTGTTTGGCGGGAAATTAATTCATCATGGATATCACAAACCGCGAAACTTATGGTTTTTATTGGAGTATTCAGAGCAAAGACGAATAAAATATACTTAATGTAAA